GCTCTCTTCCCCTTCTCCTCCCTCACCACTACACTGGCTGTATTGCAACTTCCTTGTGATCTGCACAGATTTCCCTCCCAGCTTTTGTCCCCGTCCTATCCACTACAGCGGCTGAGGCAAAAGAGCTGGTGCAGATACCTGAGCTATCGTCAAGTACAGGTGCAAGTCAGCAGCCAGAGATGAGCGCAGTGGGGAGCTTGTGCCCAGTGGGGGTGTTCAGGCGGGCTGTGCACGGAAGCGCCGTGTGCTCTGTGCACATGCTTCCTCTCCTGAGCCATCAGGAGGGGAAAAACGAGTCCTGTCCTTGAAAGGAAGGTGTCACATCCACGCAGCAGAAGGGCTGATGTTACTCTCTGAAGGGGGAAGGTGTTCGGAGGCAGCTGTGCCAGGATGGGGCTGGGGGGAGGAACTCAGAGCAGAAGCGCAGAAATGGACTTAGAACCAATCCACAGGCATGGAGTGAAAATGCAGATATGAATTTTGGAGTTCTGACCTTAAAAACTGCAGAATGCTCCAAATCCAGATTTGTTGTCATGGCTTGTGATGAGCTCCGCACAAAACCAGGAGCCTCTGGCAGGACTTACGTTGATCTGTGGCCATTTTGCCACAGGCTTCAGGAGTAGTGGGTTCAGGGCCTGTCTTTGTCTGGTAGCTATCTGGTAGCTAATGTTAATAAATCACCCTGACCTCCCCGAAACTGTTGTGTACCTTGGAACACTATCACTTTCTTAGGTACCCGAATCTGACGTTAGATGGGAGCCCTGACCTATGGAAGTCCTGGCCAGTTTCTCTGGGCCTGTGATCATTGGCAGGACTCTAAAGCACAGCCTCTCCTCCTGAAGTGAAATGGGATGCCAGAGTAGTAGAAGAGTAACGTAAATGAGCCCCCAGAGTATTTCTGACAGTACATTCGTGAGCTATTCCACATTTCCTATCTAAAAACATCCCAGGCTAGACACTAAGCAATGACAATTCCATCTTTGACTTCATTGCTCCACATCACTTTTCAGCAACCCCAGCAGGAAAACAGGTTTGTGCTGCTTGCTGCGCTGACTTAG